TTGACACTTTTAATCGTAGGCGTAAGCATCGGCACACCCTAAATACCAATGACGCTGCCCTGCTTATGCCAGCTCCCTTCTTTTTGGGTCCTGTGTAAGTTGTGTAGAGTGTGCCGAATTCCGTTTCAGAAAAGCATAATTCGTTCAAAAAATTGGAGGGAGGGGGCTGCTGTTTACTGGGACTTAAAGAAAGAGGAAAGCCAAGCGTCGGCCGGGCGTCCGACTCTCTCTATATATAGAGTGGTAACTTTGTGTGTCTGTTTGTATGCCCGTTTTTGCGTTCTTTCGAAAGTCTCGCAGGTACAATGAAGTTATGAAATGGAAAGTCAAGCGATACTGTTTATATTGGTCCTCTAACAAGTCGGAGGTAAGCGGGAGTGGGCATACGGTGCACGCATTAGCGTGCGTAGCCCAACTGGTAAATACCCTTTCGGTAAAATCTAAGCAATTCCGCAAGGTGCTGGCTTTAGGAAAATCTCACTATGGTGAACGATTTACGAGGAATTGAGCGTTTATAAGCGTAAAAACATTTCTCAAAATTGCAGACGTATAAAGGAGACGAGCAAAAGTCAAAAATTAACTTACTCTGAACGAGTTGTAGATGTTTTTGCTTTTTTAGAAGATGCAGAAACTTTTGGCGGCTTCTTTGTGGGCCTGAAAGTAATGGTGAACGATAAAAACAGATAATCGGAATCCATAGCAATTGTGAATTTACTGATTACTTTGGACATGAAATGTTTTTGGTGAAGTTCATCGTAACTCCACCTTTCGGCCTGCGTGGTTCACCTACCCTTGAGTCGTGTATCCGAATAATCTCATTTCTTAGAGACTGTATAATGGAGAACCGATATGTTAAATACTCAACTAGAAACCCATCACTCCTGTTTATTTCCACCTACAGCTTACTGATGCGGTTTACTACGAACGATGGCAGCTGATAGCAACTTGAAGTACCTGATCCTCGGAAGGTGCCAGCCACAGAAACCCTCACGCCTCCCTCCCGCCCCCCTCATTAATAGTGGGACCTAACAGTCGGACACAGATTGAGAGCTCTCCTACGATAGAGCCTTCGTTGCCCTTCCGCGTTTCGTAGTGGCATCTTAGACTCGGTAAAAGACTCGGAATGTGTTATATTACTTTAGACGAGATCGAAAATGACCAGCTACATGAACTGATAACATTTGAGAAAGGCCGATAAAGAATAGATGGCAGAGGACGATAAGAAGTGATTAGGCTTACAAGGGAACCTTGTATGAGATAGGTGTTAATGACTAGCACTACATCCAAAAGGCTGGCTCATAACACATGTTGGGAAAGAAGGGTCAGTATCTACAGAGTAGGTCCTTCCTGCATGAAGGAAAGTGTCTAACAGCATGAAAACGTTTTTTGATCCTGCAGAGCTATTAAAAAGAAAAGTGAAAAGGAAATAACTGTCTTACCGTTTAGTGTGTTTAGTCGATTTCGTTTTTCGAGTGGTACGAATAGAAGTGCGGACCGAAGTTGCAGGACCTGACGGCTTTGGTGAACTTCTGAAAGTAATATATTTAATAGTAACAGATGAAAGGTAATAACAATAAGTCAAGCTTGACACCGATTTGTTGAATGATTGATAGCGTTTTCAAAGCGTTTGGTTTACTCAATCGTCAAACCGTCTTTCGGCTTGCATGCTTTGCCTAACAGTATATCCAAAACGCGTCCATTCCATGTGGAAACTACATATTAGGTTAAGGGTCTTCGCTACGATCAGCGGCTAGATCACTCCCCAGCTTACGTGTTGTCACGTTATCTCCCACGAGAGTTTGCATTGAGGTGAAGAAGTGTGGTCAAATCCGAGCTAGGCGAAGTGGGCATAAAAGTAAAAGTGAAAGTGGGCACGTTCTTTGTTATGACGCACTCTTAGTCTGCATTGCTCAACTGATATGTGACTAGATGAAAAACCTCCAACAACATGAGAACATTTAATGAGCGCGGAAAATATGAAACGAGACAATCTGTATACAAGGAGGAAAAAAATAAAAGTAACAGCCTCACAGTGTTCGAAGTGGAGTTATAATATGTATAGAATCAGTAGGACTGGGAGTAGATGCGCGGCCCGTAGCCGCAGAGACTGCAGACGTTTTTCGTAGCCTGAGTAGAATTTGAAATGTACAAGGTGATAATTGTTAAAAACCATTTGATGATACTGTGACATGGCTGACCATCGTAAAAAGCACGAAAGTTCGGGCGTCAATCAATCCCGTCTGATGGATGCGTCCCCGAACGCGACTCCCACTCAGAATTGTAGTGGCGTGTTAAATGCTTATGTGATCGTACACAATAAATTGAGTGTTTTTATTCTCAGAAACGATTCGTTACCAACTAGCCGACACCAAAAGGAAAGAGGGCTTGCTAGCCTAGATGAGTATTCACCCGGGATTTGAACAACTGACTATACGTGTGCGACAGCGTCCCACCTGTCACTACACCACTCCCCCATTCGTGAGGAGCGTGTGCGAAAGTTGTTAATTTGTACCTGTGCTGGGGATTCAAATTTAGCAGCGGTATACAAGCCAGGAAAAACAGTCAGGTATCATTTTCGAAACGGGGATATAATTGGCTCAACTCCCGTGAACATGAGGCCCAATACGGCAGCATTGTGTAGAACCCTATGGGAGAGGCTGCTGAAATTTCGCGTCGCTCAACGAGCTTCGGAAAGTACGATGCTGGGTATTGATCCTTTGTCCTAGGCTTCCCACTCTCCATAACTCCGAGTTGAGACATCCATCTTATTCCACGCATCGCCCTCCGAGAATTGTATGACCAGTGAGTAATGCTTCAATACTTGTATTTTGTAGTCTCAATCTGGAATATGGCATGCCTGGTGTCAGCCTTGCATTCCGACTTATTGTTAGTTACAAGGAGAGGAGTCAGGCATAGGTCGGGCGACCTGATTGCGGGATCTACTATGAACAGAAAAAAAAACGAAATAATAATAACAATAAATGTCTTACCGTGTTTGAACAGGGTTCGCTGTCTTCCTACAAGGAAGGTCTTTCAGGGCGCGGGACACTTTTTGAAAATGGTTTTTTGCATGGTGTAGGGGCATGAGCATTGTGTACAGAACTATGGTCCATTTCCGCTAAGTGGCCTTCTGAACGCCAAAAAAGGGGTGAAAAAGATTTTGTCAGAAATTGCCGTTTTAACCCACTAAGCGTCACTTGTTTCATTCATGGCGTCGACTGTCCGCACATAGAAGGCGCCAGTGGACTCTGCATTGAAAACGTGAACAGTAGAGAAAAAACGGAGCCACATGTTGAAAAGTGCGAGAAAGTTTTACATGTGCTCTCCACGATTGAGCTGCTGGCAGCGACGGATGTTGTGGTGGATAGCGATGTGGTCTTCGAGGAAGGACGACTAGGATGGTTGATGGTTCGGACTTCCGGGGCTTTGCCTTTTTGCATTTTATGCTGCCACTTCCAGATTGGCTCCATATTGCACCAGGGCCAGAGCAAGGCAAGTCATAGTCGTGACCAGGACCAGCCACGCACATAACCTCTACAAGCCGTTAGAATTTGTTGTGTGGAGCACTATCAGAGGGAGGAGCTTCCAGGCTTCACACTCCCAGGAGTATAAAGGTGTCTTCCAATTTCACACTACATAAGTGTTGTAATAGGGGTCGAAACCCTATAATATAGATCCTATCCAAAGCACGATTCCAACCTTCCTCTGGGCGTCCACCACGGACTCCTGTGGGAAAACGAATCAGACTCTTTTTCAACTCGTCTTCTTGCTGAAGCATCCATGAGCATTAGGTTTTTATAAAAAGCTGTCAGCCCTGAAGGAAATCATTCTAGTGCCGGATTACTAGATTAATGACTAGATGAAGGGTTTGGGCGATACCTGTTCCCGACCTACGATCCCCTAACTCCGTGTCCGTATGAAGGGCTGGCAGGACACGAGCAAGAAGGACATTGCTGAAGTCGAGATGATTGCAGAAGATGAGTGACTGATCGTGAGGAAAGAAGGAAATGGAGATTACCAACCAGAATAGTGGACAAAAACTCTTCAACGGCGCGAAATCAACGCTAGGGTAGAAAACGGTGAAATCATCGCAATTAGATGAGTCTTCCATCAGTTTTGAAGGAATTCGGTCGAAATAAAACAACAATCAAACCATTACCGTCCAAATCATTCAAAGAATTGTAGGGACTGTGCAATGTCCATACAATGTCCAAGACCAGATGTTATGATATCGAATTTTTCGACTACCAAAATGACATCATACCATCCAACTTTTTTTCTAACTGAATGAACTCTTGTTGTGGGCCAAACTGATGAAAAAACTACGTGAGACGTGAGGAAGTTGGGGGGNGGGGGGGGGGGGGGGGGGGGGGGGGGGAAGGGGGACTCCTGGGAGTGTGAAGCCTAGAAGCTCCTCCCTCTGATAGTGCTCCACACACGTCCCACGCCTTGAAAGACCTTCCCTGTAAGGATCAGTAGGGGGCATCGTGGGCGCAGAGGGCGGTTGTCTGTCAATAACAGTCACATACGTACGGAACAGAACAACTAAACCATCCCAACTAGGCTTCGAGCTGAGGAGGTGAAAATGTAGCTGTTTGAGGTGGGATGGGAGAGGGGAATGCCACCACTCTTTCCCAACTTGAGCGCTAGAGCACATAGAAGGAAATGTAGCCGACTACGCGAACCCATAATGGTGCTCAACAACCTTTCATATCCAGGAAAACAGAGCTTTTGTGCCCAAGCCCTAAAAGGGTAGCGTAGCAGCGCCTGGACTGTTCATTCAGTTAAATATTCGTTTCTAACCCCATCCCAACTGCTTGTCCTAGGTTTTATCTCATCCATCCCGGTGCTCCTCCTCTTAACGTTCAAGTGAGAACTATATTCCTGAACCTCTGAACCGTCTCTAAGCATAATTAAACTAGATAAGCCATTTACTGCGCTCTAGAGCCCAGCGTTGTATGAGAGCGATGCTCCCCTTATACAGCATTTTCACCGGTTCCCACTTGAACCGGGCACCAAAAAACCGCCATAAATCACGGTTGGTATCCACCACCAGCTATTATTTGCAACAATTGTTTTACTAGTGTTTGAGGTGACTGTTTTTCACCCAAACCTACGGCAAGTGGCAGGGGTTTCGTTGCGACTACCGTAATCCTTTCACCTTTATGAGAGAATCGATTCGTCCTGCACATTCTTCCCCACCCCCTCCTCCCATGAAAAAGCCTAGTCAAACTCTATTAAAATCGGTATTAATTGATTTCAAACTATCGAAGTCACCGAACTGCACTTCTGGCTGTGATTTCTGCTATGGCGCTATCTTTTTCGATACTCCCCCTTAACTTCTTCCTTACTGTCAGCATTTTACCATAAGTTGGCATTTTGTTCTCCATATCTCTCATATTGGGGCGGAGGTGGTGTAGTGGCAAGAGGCGCACTACATCACACGCACGGTCAGGGGTTCGAATCCCGGACCGATGCCCGCCTAGGCCAACCAAGCCTTCCATCCTCCGGGGTCGGTGAATTGGTACCAGACTCGTCTGGGAGGATAAAAGCACTGACTTGTACATCGGCTGGCCACCGCAAGTCATTGTATAGGCCACATACGCACTCATTACGCAACTACGATTCTGAATGGAAGTCGAGTGCGGGGGCGCATCCCTCAGACGGGATTGATTAACGCCAAAAACTTTATCCTTTATCCTTTTTATCTCTCATATTAGTTACCTGGATTTTCCACAAACACTTCACACAGGATTACCTCGAGATACATAACTACTTTCCACTGAGTAAATAATAAACAGCGTTGCAGCTCATTCAGAGAAAAAATAAAAAGGATAGACGGAAAGTTCTCACTTGATAGGAGGTTTAGTCGCCTTCCCAGACTTAGTAGAAGGATTAGCAGAAGAGCGATCCACAGTCGCAGAATCATTCGTCCCTTGGTCTCTGAGATTAATTGTTACAGATGAAAAGTAACAATAACTGATCATGCATGATGAACTTCCATACATGATATGATTAAATTCTTCACCTAGATAACGTTTCCAAGATTGGATAGATCACTCCATCTTTCTGCAGTTTTCATTGGTGAATACAGGCAGAAAGCACCTTTTATCCTTTGATCATCTCAGTCACATTCACGGTGAAAATGAATTCAAAGGTTTTCCCGAGATGAACCTGTGACCTTTAAGGATAGCATAGGAGACGTTGTCGGGTCGAAAAACGGCGTAATACTGACCCCAAAACCGGCACAGCCTACGTACACACCCAACCCCAAATGTGGACGAGTTCTCACGGCGTCGTAGGGGCTGCAGAGATTGCATCATTCGCACTGCGACGTACACGTTGCACGCGAGCAGCTCATTATAGCCAGTTGTACGCAATGTCACACACATTTGGACAACTCGTTCAAATATCTCTTCTATGCAACTTTTGTCGTCACATTAACGTCAAACTCTAATTTGACAACTAAATTTTACAACTCAACCATTCGCACACCAACTGTATCCCATGTCCACACCATAGTTTAGTATGGTCACAAGCAAACAGACTTTCAGCGTATGCAGCTGATAAAGGTCATCGGTTTATGAGGAAATAGATGGGCAGAATCAAAGAAGAAATGAAGCGAGTGCATTCTTCGAGATTTCAGCTGGATAAAGAAAAAAAAAGAAAACCGAATAAACCGAAGTACCCTGTATTAGGCGGTTCCGTTGCATTCGAGGAATCGGCACCGGGCTCAGTGACGCTGCCTCCAGCCATTTGCGGAACTTGAATCGCTGACGGGAACCATGAGGGTAGCGAAAAGCCTGAAATCTATGAAGATCTTTCATCATGCAATAACCCTTCGAAGATAGAAACCTTAAGCGCCTGTGTATTAGTTGTGGAAAGGCTTTATCAACAACCAATTTGGTTTGTTGCATGACATCACGTCATCATAACTCGTCCTACTCGACCAATTATCAGCCTTGTAGCTAACGAAAAAGTTGTCGTGATCGCTGGAACCCTGCTCAAAATCAGAAGAGACCACTGAGCTAACGAGAGCAATGAAGGTCTAAGGTGCTCGCTGGCCAATAATGTCACTATTGGTCTCCGAGCCAGAGTAGTCCAGCGGATAGTCCTCACTCGCGGGACAAGAAGCAGTCCTC